CTTCATTTTTTTTTTTATTGTAATATAAAATTAACTGTGTAATTGTTGTTTTTTATGCATATGTTAAATGTTATAAATAGTGCAACAATGATGAGCAACATCAAAGCGTGCGTTTTGTTTTAATTTTTTCGAAAAACGAATTACGCGTAACAGAGGCGTAGCCATAGAAGTGAACAATCGAGTGTAGATCTAGAAAATGATAGACGCGATAATTCTCTTAATATTATGAGCTTCTGCATTGGGATAAAGGAAAAATCATAACATCTGCGAAGTCGAAGGTAAAAGGTTTTAAATGTAGCGAGCTTTCCTTCCACCATTTTCTATGTAGAACGTATTATATTTGTATGCATCTCACTCACAGAACAACGTTCTTAACATGGGGAAGTTCTTTCTATAACTCAGTCTAGTCCGGCTGGGAAGTCCCAAAACAAAACCAAATGTTGCCACTTTGGCTGCAGAAGTCCTAACAATTGATCGCAGATAGTCTGAATTGTAATAGCAGTTCTGAGGATGAGGACAATTTACGATTCGCATTTAAAGTAAAAGTTTAACATTTAACAAAGTTACCCATGTAAATTAGCGCGTCTTGTATAATCCAAAGTCATTCTTCTTATATATAAATATGCATGGAAATCTTGATATTTAAAACAAAGTCCACGATGATGTACATACCAGTAGACACTGTTATTGTAAAGGTCATGAAATTTTAGAACCGTTATAGAAAGTTGGACCTTTTGTAGAAAAATAGTTATACGATCGAATTTCTTTCTATAGAATCGTTTCTGAACCGCCGGTTGAATAGCCAGCTGTGACAGCGCCGTTATAAAGGTCTTTGGCGACAAGCTTAATTTTCCCGCTGAGTTTTAACGCACATCCTCCGATATTGTCTCGGTTGGAACGGTGCCTTTAAAAGGCAGTTTTATATATATATTGTGATAGAAATTGGAGCATATGTTTTGGAACACTCAAAACGACTTGAGATGAATTTCTGAGATATTCTGATAGAATTTGGTACACTGACGTGCTTTGGCCGGCCTAAGGACTAACGCCACGGATCGGACAACTTTTTCGTCCGCTTCCCCATATACAGCGTTATTTTCAAAATAAATGTGAATAACTGTATCAATACAATATAATATTAATCTATAGGTTTCTTCCTTTTTTTCACTTCTCAATATTTCAATTTAAACGCAAAAGTTCTTTAAGAAAATAAATATCCCGCTGAAAAACGCGTGATTTTGTGCTGAAAGTCACTTTCGTAACGTATAATTTTCTGAAATATGCATGCATTCGAATAAGGCAGCCTTGCTCCTCGCTTAATATCAGTCAATTCAATCGTTCATAACATCTACGGCACGATAGGGGCAGAACAACTTTTAGATTATCATTTTTGTTTTTTTCTTTTTAAAAGAAAAGAGTGGGGAATACATAAATTCCCCAGAAGATCCTATCAATTCCAAATGAGTGGAAGAATCCACTCAAGGAACATTGATGATTAAAAGTAATCTTAGTTAGTCCTTAAGAAATAAGAAACTTTCTTGTTGTTCACCGTGGACTTGAAGCAAATAAGCAAAAGCTTTAACATCGATCTCAAAATATATCACAAGAGTTTGGACCGCCTATGCTATTCTAAGAACGTGTAAAGTAGATTATTATACATACGCTACAGGAAAGCAATTTACAGCGTTCATAAAACGGATTCGCTCTTACACCGAATTGTAAGATGGCACTCATCACACTTAAATTGATGTTCATGTTTGCTGCAGAGTGTAAATTATTGGATTATATATTATTTCCGGACATATTTATTAAGCTCGATTAAAATTGTTGTAAATTTCAGCTATCTATGTCACCCTTTCTAGATTGCATAAGGAGATACATAGGTCGATGAACCAACAGACGGTTATAAATAATCAAATCAAAAAAAGTTCTAACGAGTCTTTCAAACCGATCAAAAAAAAGAAACATTTTTTTTTTGTCCTTGATGATGAGCAGATCACAGGGAACAAAAAGAAAAGTTATTATATATTGTTTCTACGTTCGTGACATGGTATCAAGCAAGGGGCGGGGAGAGTTGAAAGAAATAAGATAACCAAGATCTAAATGTACAGATTGGGGGAAAACATATCGTTTTAGTGACGCATCTGAATTTATTAAGCGTAAAACCCAAGAGACTAAAAAAAAGCAATATTAAGATATAAAAAAAAAGTATATATATATGTAATTTATATGCATTTACAATATACGGAAAACGGAAAAGAAAAACTGCTGAACAATATGTAATTTATTAAATTATTATGAGAATTTATAAAATTCATTTACAAACATTGAGGAAGTTAACAGCATTTACTAGTTTGTAAATTCACGTTTAACGTTACCTAAAAAAGAAAATTGTGATTTAATTTTAATGTAAATATAATGGGAAACGTATGGAAGATATGAACACATATTCGCAAATATGCAAAATCACAAATTGCTTCAATTTGCTATGATAGGATTTGATGAAACATTGCAAGTTTTACAAGTCTATTTGAAATTCACATTTCGGTTCATTTTTTTTTTTTTTATTTTTCTTTAAATCGATAATTTAAATAAAAACTATCATGCAAAGATTGCGATAAAGAGAAAAAATGAAGAAACTAAACATGCTTCACTAATGTACTCAGACGGTAAATAAAAATTCATTGCCTAAGTTTAAGCAAGACATTGTAACAAAATTATGGTGCATAACTTAAGGGGTGAGGAAGAGAATGTAACGTATTGCAAACGCAGTGAAAATATATTAAAATAATGGGAATTTTTTTTGTAAATATTAAGTCATAATCTTATTTTTAATATTTTGTTTATATATAAAAAAAACGATCGGAATATTTGTAATATACATATACATACATAAAAATAGTGTGATTAGTAAAAAAAAAAAAAAAAACTTGACGAGCTTTTTGGTGCTATAACTGGAAAATACCACAAAAATTAGTGTCTTTTATTTTTTCTTTTATTTTGCTTTCCATTAATTTGGTGCATGTCAAAAATTTATTATTCCATAAAAAAGGAAAAAGTTTATTATGCTTTGTACTGTTTTTTTTTTTTTTTTTTTTGCTTGCTGATCGATGCTAAATAACATTTAATAGTTAGTGAGACAAAAAATATGCAAAAAATTATTTATATAATATATATTGTATATGGACGATTATTATTTTAAATTTATATGTGTATTGATTAAAAATTTTCATCGAATATAATTGTGCCAAAAAATATGCATATCAGTGCCAACTGAGTTTAATTGGATTTTTAGAATTTTTGAAAAAAAATTTTAAAAGAAATTGTTTAAAAATTTAAACGAAAATACAATCGATCAAATATGAAAATTTAAAAACTTATATATAAAAAACGAAAGAATATACTAATAATAAAACAGGGGGATTAGGGGTTTTAAAGGCGAGATAAAAGAAAATCGTTTTTGTTGCCTTAGTTGTAATAGGAGAATAAAAAAAGAAAGAAAAAACATAATTTTATTTGCCTTTGAACGAATCTCAGATATCCATCACCATGCCCGTGGCTTCATCGAAGTTAGTCTTTTTAAATCTTTAGATATCTGTTTACGGCTCATCGATGGATATACATCTAAATATTTATTATCCACAATTCTATTGCAGCTTTGGTGGAACGTAGATATCACATGTATTGAGACATGCTCAGTGCATGCTTGAGGCATGCTTGGGCGACGACAGTTCTAAAAACAGACTCGTGGACTTACTATAAATAAAAATTACTTATAATTGAAAACAAACAGACACAAGGAATAAAAATCGAACAGACAGACGGACTTGCCATTTTCTATAACATTCGATACAAGATTTTCTTTTACATAATTGTGCTGTGCTATGATAAATTCTGTGTTTTGACTTTCTGAGATGGTGAATATTTAGTATGTAGTATATAAAAGAAGTGAATATAAATAGAATGAAATGCGCATATATTCCATATAGAGCGTAAATTTGGAAAAAAAAATATATAAATAAAATTGAAAGGAAATTCTATAAGTCCCAAAATTTCTCTACTTTTTTTTAACTAACACTCGGCAGCTATTATCTGAAGAATATTTCAAGCTGTTTATGTTATAGATTGCTATACGATTGGCTTTTCAAGCATGGATTTTTTCTTTAAAAGAAAGAGACGGACCAAATGATACCGCGAACTATCACGGGTATGCTATGATGGAAAATTTCGATAAAGAATTCAAAATAAATGCCGTGACGTATATCTGTAATAAAAAAGGCAAAGTTAAAAAGGGGGACTTTGTTACGAGGACAAAACACATTTTAAAAATCACCTTGGAATGAAGTTAATGAAGATTCCGCTTATTCGAAATGGAACTAGGGGTGGATGCTAAGGCGGAAATCTTTTTCTATCGATTTTAAAAAACGGAAAATATTTTAATTATAAAAAACAATAGAAAGGAAAAAAGAAAAAGGAAATCAAGAACTTTATCAAACTAAAAGCGAGTGCCAACCAACTTAAAAATATTCAAAGTATATTGTATTTTTTACCAACATAAACCAAATATTTGATACGAATTTTTTTAAAACATTGAAACTTTAACGTATTTTAACGAAAACATTATATGCAACACGTTGACTTCAAAAATTCGGTTGTCAGGTGTGCGCTTATCATCCTCTTATATGACAGCTAGAGAAAAATAGTTTTTCAAAATATACAAAAATGAAAAACAAAAAAACGAGAAAATCTCCAAAAAGTTTTCATTATTGTGCTGCTTGAACGTTTTTTTTTTTAAAAAAAAAAAGCTTTTTTTTAAATTTTTTAAATTTTTTAGTATTTCATAATATTACATAATTGAAAAGAAAAAAAAAGTAAAAAAAAAATATATATATATTTGTATAAACAACTAAAGCGATAAACGTAAATGATATCGAAACGAAAGAGTTTGTAAATAAAAACGTTTAGGATAATGGAAAAAAATTATTAAAATCCATACATACCATCTTCATGAGTACGCACAATAATCGGATGTGAACGTGGACCATCACCGACAGACGTGCCAGCTAATACCCAAATTTTATATTCGGTCCAGCGTTTTAACTCATCCAATATTAAGTGCGTCTTATTCAATGTCGTTATGGTGGCTTCACTGTCCGAACGTCCAACCTCCACATGGAAAACTTTATAGTAGATAATGCGACCATTTGAACGTTCAACGGGTGGTGGTAACCATTTGAGGGATATGGTGGTGGGACTAGTGGCTACAGCGGTTATATTGCTGGGCGGTGCACCTGGTACTAAATTGGAACGGAACGGTACGAATTTGTTTTGTTTTGTTGGAATTTTTTTTTTTTTTTTTTTGCGAATAGAGAGCAATTAAGCACATGATTTTTTTTTTTAAGTTGTAATTTTTTATTTTTTTTTTTTGTGATTAGGTGTGTTTGCACAGTTTGAAATGGACCGCATTAAATGATGTTAAAATGATGAGTTGGTTTTGTTTTAATAATTTCAACGAATTGATTTAAACAGCATTAGCATGGTTTACAAACACAAAATCCATATAAAAATGAAACGAAAATTGAAAGAAAATAAAAAAAAAAAAACAAAAGCAAATATTAATATAAAAAATTGGATACAATAAAAGAAAAAAAATATATATATATAAAAAACAAATTAAAAAAAAAAAAAATTTAATTCCAATGGCTTATGCAAATTTTCTCTTTTGTTTATTAATTTTAGTAAATTTTCATAAATTTTCAATTTTTTTCTGCATATTTTTTGTGATTTATTTGTTTTAATTTTTTTGTCAGCTAACAAGAACAGAAAAAAACAATCTCTTCATCGTTTTCTATTAACACTAAAAACAATTTTTTATTAACAATAAAAAAAATTAAATATTTTATTTAAACTGAAATCGAATTTTTGTTAATTGTGGTAGCAGTAGTAGTGGGAGAATTAGTAGAGAGAGAGAAGAGGAAAAACATTTAAAGTGCTCTTCAAAACATATGATCACCATGCAAAAAAGGAGGTCGTGACTGTTTAAATAAATAAATAAAAAAAAGAACAAAAAAAAAAACTTTCTTTATATAAATAAATAAATAAATTTGCCCAAATGCAAACGGGTGCGCGTACAGTTTAGTTTTCACATTTTTTACACGTTTTTTTTACATAAACAAATAAATAATCAGTAGTAAAAAACTTGATTGAAACAAAATTAATAAATATTTTTAAAAATATTCACACAATTATTTGTTTAAACATTTAGGCATTTGCTTTGCATAAACCATTTTTTTCGAAAAATTTTAAGTTTATTTTGAAAGGGATATGTAAAAAAAAAAAAATAAAAAAAAATAATAAAAAATAAAACAAAATAATCACAATTGTAAGCTGGACGAAACTAATCGCATAAATTATTTATATATAAATAAAGAAATTGCAAAATATTTATATAAAAACAATTTGGGAATTAATAATAAAAGCAACGAATATAAAAAAATAGAAAATACATAGTTAACTTTAAAGCGAATCTTCGCCGCCCACTACCGTGAGAGAGTTTCGGCAACGATTTGATTGCGAGTATTTTCAAGAATTATAGCCAAATAATGCGGAAATATTTCGTAAGATGAAAAATGTTAATTTTTACGGATCACAGGAAATGTTCCAATATTTGCAATAAACGATGATCTCTGACGATGGTCGGACACATCAAAATCCCGCATCAATCGGGATAAATAATACTATGTTTAAGCATGTAAAAGTCTCTGAAGCATAGTTGCTTCGGAGTGTTTTAAGCGGAATAATAATATTAATATACCATCGCGTTAAGGTAGTGGGGCCAGAAGAATAAATATTAACTGGATATAATTTTCTGACGATAATTTACGATAATTAAATAAAAATACATTTTTATAATGAGACATTTAAACATTAATGAAATTATGCAAACAATTTATGATAATATGCTTAACATTTTAGGATAATAACTAGATGAAGTAAATTAATATAATAATAATAATAATAATAATAATAATAATTTTTGCAGAATGCTAGGAAAAAGCGCATCTAAAATAAAGCGTAAATAAATAAAAAAGAAAGGCCATTCTTAGTAGCAGCGTTAGTAGTAGTTGTAGTTCAATAGGTGAGTACATACATATGCTATCAGCTCATAAGCAAATAAATGAACGAATACGTAAGTAACTAGAGGACGGGCTCTGAATTTTTAATGTAATATTTTTTTTGTTTAGATGCTTCCATAGATTCGGAACTTCACCATTTCTACTACCACACCATTTCTTCTATCAAGATTTCTGAAATTGTTTTGTTTGAAATTGAAAAGTGAATATATGGGAATCTCTTCGTTCTTGTTGAACGTACACTCGTCAAAAGCCGATCTATATAATTTTCAAATTCTATTACCATAATTTTATTAAATATTTCTGACCTGTTCCAGCTTTCTAACGATTGAATTTATTTTTTATTTATTTTATTTTATTTCTTTCTATATCGAATTTATATTTTGGTTACAGCTGCTACGATTACTAATCGCAAGATCATTATTGCCTATCTATTTATTTTGTTAATTCATCTCAGTTTAAAAAATATATTCAGACTTTCCCGGCGTAATTTACTTAGGATGGTCGCAATATTTAAATTTTATTCTTCGGAGGTTGTGCGAGTCAAATGTACTGACGAATTTAATTAAGCCAACATTTTAAGGTAATAATTTGATCAATAATTTCCGGGCCTAAGCGACAAAATTTCTTTTTCTGCGCATTTCGATTTTATTCATTAATATAGTTTCCTTCAAAGGTGATGCCTTCTAATGCTTGTTTTATAAAATGATCTTTAAGGAGCCTCGTAATTCAATTCAATTTACGCAAAAACATTTCATTATTGCGCCCCACTGTCTTTTTCTAAACATTCTTTTTAGATTTGCGAAAAGATAATAGTCGTTGGCGGCCAGACACGAAGTTTACTGTGGGTGAGGTAGTAATTCGATTTACAATTCATACAATCTTGTTGAATGCAGCCATCGACTTATACTCTCTACTTTGTCTTCGCCATTTGGAAGATGTTTTTCCGCTTTCAATGAGGGTACAAGTGCTATTTATTCTCTTTCAAGATAGTCGATGAAAAGAATACAACATGTATTAAGGAATAGCCAAACAATAACCTTGCCGGAAGATTGTTGTAGTGCTGTACGGTTTACATGGCCTTCGACGCAGAATGTCGATTCCATTTGATTCAAGAATGCAACAATAAATACATATTTCGTAAGGAAATTCGCATCAACCCGGTTCAAAGTCTTAAATTAGCGCGGTAGCTACTTCGAAAACAGCTTTCACACTTCAGCATTCTTCTGCCAGAACACGTTCTGCGGTTTTCGAGAATATCTGTCAAGAATTTCTTAAAATCTTTTTGAGATAACCACATTATTCCGTTCAAGTTTTTACGATCTCGCTTAAAGTCGGCAAACAATCGATAAATTCTTAGTTTCAACGGAGTTTAGTTACTTTAGCACTTTTCAAGCCAATGTTGAATTGGAAGGGTAAGTTTTTCCGATCAGAAGGTAGTACTTAATGGACACAAGAAATTCCGATTTACCCAGTGTTTTTCATATAACAAAAGCGGAGTCATTAGAGCCACTGGACATCGTAAATAAATTATCAAAATGACTTAAAGGTTTAATAAGCCTTATTTAACTGTTGGCGGTACTTGGAAGAGGGTTGCTTTCTTTCTTTGAAGACACTAGCTATTTCTTTGTCCTGGCAATTATTGATTGACACTTGTTGACTATAAACTGTACTTATACCCGCTTTTGTGCGGCGTCTTTTCTTCTTTCTTGTTTCTACTTATACGACTTAATTTGTTCGTACGACTTGTTTTGTGCAACTTTTCTTATGTGTGGTCTGGGTAAGCGCGGAGATGAAAAGTGATAGCAAGAACGAGAAATAGCAATTTCTTAAAATTTTTCCGTATGCAATTTAATTACTTGTTTGGTTTGCAAAACAATTTCTCGCCATTTCATAAGCCTTTCACGCAGTTCACACGAAAACTCTTTTTATGCGGTGGCTCTGAACCTTTCAATTTATGAAAAACTATCTTTTATAGCTCGTTATGAAGTGCATGTTTTTTTTTGGCAGTTCTTTTTTTGCGGTACCTTCTCGCTGCTTCATAAGCCTGCTTTAAATTGTTGTGAAAAACCATTTGTCGTTTCTATTTATTTCTGAAAACTTTTTTAGTGCGATCCGTTTCGAGCAGTCCCTCCTATCTACCGACCAAAAATACGTTTACCTGCAAATGATAACTTTTTTGGTGAAAATTATATAACAAATAAAATGTCTTATGCATTTCTCCACTTTGTTTTAGTGAGAATACTGCTTGTCCAATTTGAATTATCTTGACGTGAACCTGACGCATAATTTCACTGATACTTGCAGTGAAACCTGTGACAAAAACCTCATCTTAGGTTCACCTTGTGTTGCGGTCGACAAATTTAGAGGATTTTAAGACTTAGTAAAGCTTCGTAATTAGAACAAACGTAACGGTAGCTTCAAGTCTTTAAGTCAAGCTATAACATTGGAATTTGAGACAAGCAAAGAAAATAGGTCGGTTTATCTGATTTTTTCAGTTACGATGGGGAAAATGGAAAACGTTTAACCCTTTTTTCTTGTAAATGAAGCCTAGCGGTCACCATGGTCGTTTTGATGAAAGCAGTGATACAAAGGGACGGAGAGGGTTAAATCGTTAACACAAGCCATGCTCATTCAGAATATTCATTTACTACTTATGTGTTTTGATGATTTATGAATATGTGAATGGACGTATTTTTCGAAATCTCTCTCGTATGTAATTTCATTTCCAGTTAATATTGCACATCTGTAACTTTTAAGAAATGTGCTTAGAATATGACTAGACAGACAAGTAATGATATGAATGAAATAAGAGACATTACCTATTCTACTTGTTACCTAGAGCACTTCTTTCGCCAAAAAAAAAAAAAAAAAACAATATACCAATAAGAATAATGATCACAAGTAAACTATAACTCAAATGCATTAAGAAAAGTCAACTTTCAATGCCTGTTGAGATCAGTGCATAAATTAAAAGCAATTAATAATCATTTAAGCAAAATAAATTTAAAAAAATTATTTTTAATATCGTCATGCGTTACAGATAAGGAATATGAATGAATTTGAAAATGTCAAAAATGAACAATCATTCAAACGGAAAGCTATAAAGAATAACATGTGAAATTATCATACAATCATTCAAAAACCAAAAAAATAAAAACAAAGAAAAAAAAAATGAAGGAATTTTTATCGCTAAAGCAAATGCAAATGTTAATTAAAGTGAAATCAAGCATTTTGTGCAGTTTTTTGTGAATAAACAATTTCGTCGTTATTATTATTTTTTATTTTTTTTTTTCTTTTGTTTTTATTATCAAAACATTATGTGAAACGTGATTTAAATGAAACAGATATATATATATATATATGTAGGTATGTGCATGTGTGTAAAATTAACAAGCAAAAATTCTACGCCATTAGCTTAAAAATGCTTTAAAAGTTCCCAACTAAAGTTTTTAATGTCAGAGCTGAAATAAAAATATTGAAAAACTATTTCTACGCAATTTTTTTTTTTTTTAATCGTGCCTTAATAGATTAATATTTAATATTTACATAAGTTATATAAGTTATATAGCTATTTATAATTATACGTTAATATACGTTTATGTGATTTTTTAATTGATTAATAAATTATAATAAGTTTTTTTTTTCTTTTTTTTTGCAATGCATGTAACTGTGGGTTTGATTTTTATTGTTATTAATTGCAGTGTTATAAAAATTTGCTTCAAGTGCTTAGTTTAAAGTGCATTTGTATGAAAAATATTACGTTCTGTTTTTTTTTTTTTTTTTTTTAGTATATTAAAGAGAATTTCCATAGGTGCCATTTGTAATATTTATTTATTGTTTTGCTCAACTATTGATTTAATTAATTTAGTTTTTTATAATTCAGTTAAATCGAGGCGTGTGTGAAAATTTGTTGCTTACATAAACATGCGAATATGGGAAAAGTTATTAGTAAATTTATCTCTTCATAAATAATAAGAGAACAAAAAAAATGTAAAAGAATCATAATCACCCAAGGGCGAATTATAGATACCCATCACCGTGTGTAAAAAAATGAATTATGAGTGCGTTAGTTGGCTGGCCGATCGGAGCTACTTTTGCAGCGTAACTCCAGCTGTGTTTTGTATATTGTTATATATAGTGTTTTACGGCCTCTTTAACACTCATGGGCATGGTAAGCGGTAAATCGTAGAAGATTTCACGTTGATGTGTTCACACAGCTAAGAAATATATACGCCACGGTTCAAAGGTTCAAGGTTCAAGATCTCAGAAGAACCACGCAGTCATACCCGATTCTTTTGTTCTTCTATCTATTTCACTTTTTGTTTTTTTTGTCTCTCTCTGACCACCCTTCTTTCCCTTACGCTTATTTTGTCGCAAACGGAAGGACATAGTCAGTAAATCTTCGCCATTCGGTAGTGGGTATAAAATCACAAACACTCTCTTGAGTTTTTACCGCGCACATTATGTATGTTGGTCTCCTCAAATGGAAAAGTTTTATTTTAATAAATATATAAAGAAAAAAAAAAGGAATAAATGGAAAAAATAATTAATATTGTACTGTTTGATATGCTGTTGTATTTAGTTGAATATGAAATTTGGTCTTCAACTATTTTTGTACAATGCGAATATGTCTTCCCTTCTTCTATTTCCCTTGCAGATAGAATTTTCGCTCCGATACAGGCTTTATCACGAAGAAGGATAGGTTCAGAAAGGTAAAATGATGGAGACTAGGGTACGGAAAGAATACCTCATTCAGCACGTCTTCCTAATCAATCTCTAAATCTTCTGTGGATCTTTGAGAGAGTAAATAAGATAAAGGATCACATTTCAAAGCAGAAGAATTGGAGCAAACCGGTTACACAGTCGGTTACATGTGATATGCAATCAGCTGAACTTTTCCGCTTTTGGAGTGCCATAAGTGCCATTACTTATATCTGCGGTAATAATAAATGCGATCCTGGTTTTATTTTCAACTTTGACATTAACTGATACATTGTTGAATACCCAGTCTGGATTTTATTTTTTGTTGTACTTTAACTATCGATTTAATTTGATCTTATATGAGGTTCCTTAGGTAATCGGTGCTTCTCCATCATCTTCAATAAACCTTATATAATAAACCTATTCAGAGTAACGACCAGTGACCAGGTGTTGAATAAAAGCTGAATATATGATGAGGCGATCAACTTGCAGAACCTTCTAACAATAACTATGAAAGCTGTACTAAGAACGCTTAGGAGGCTTCTTTCTACTTCTATTTATTTGTTGTAGAATCATAGATTCATTTTCTATCATCCATTGTTTAAAGGTGTGCGCTTCTGCGTGGCTTTTGACATCTAAGCAAATGGTAGGCTCTTAAACCCTCAAAATCTTCTTTGGTATATTTCTGGGTAAAAGAAATATGGTTTAAGAAAATCTCTGTACCCTAAAGTGTCGCGCAAGGGTATAACATGTATATGCTGACATATACAACAACCAGAAGGTGTAGGCATAGACCTAACTTTTATTAAGCCTGTCGGCTCAAGGTTACCTTCTAAATCGATCAAAGCATGTCTGTCCGTATGCTAGTCTTGTTTTTCTACGTTCATCGTGCAGGCAGAAATATTCGATGAAATTCGGTTCATCGACTTGTTTTGGTCCAAGAGCGAATCGGACCTCTTTTTCGCCAACTTACCACACATGACTTTATTTTGACAGCTCGTAAGACACTTAAACATGAAGCGTAGCTGGCTATAATACTTTGTGTTTTTTATAAAGAAACCTTATATTTTTTATTGCTTTGTCGTTGTATTCCTGTCTATTAAAACAGGAAATTACTTTTTGTTATTTTAAATTGCAAGAGTGTCTAGACTTTTAAAGTCAATTATAGGTAGGTATACATATGGCAGAATTAAATTTTCGAATTTTCTCAAATATCAATAGAATTGATTTACTAGTAAAAGTACAATTTTTAGATCTATATAGTTATTGGATGGTACGCTAAGAGTGCACATAAAACCGCTGCACTTAGTTTTATATTTATAGGAAATACTTAAAAAACAGATAGAGGTAAGACCATGACGACAACGAGATTGATTTACTATAAAAACAATTCAGTTCGGAGAAATTGTATAATCATTTGCAAAAGAGATTTTTCAGTGGTTTGGGTAATGCTTGATATACAAGCCTTTACCTTATTATGACTTAAATATTCATTCATGATATCAAGAGCTTTTGGAAAACTTCGTAGCAAGATACGAAAAGGATGGCAATATAATAGCCCATCATTAATGCTGATGATCGTTGACTAACGTTTATTCATTGGAAAATGTCTCTTTTTTTCGAAAATTTTTATCTTCTTTTTATTACTAAAACGAATCATGACAAGTGTTTTAAGTATTTCTGCAGCAAAAGGTTAACGAGTGTAATGTGATATGGTTTTGATTGTTTCTTTTTTCTTTTTTTTTTTTATGTTATAAACTACTGTTGTGCAAAAGTATATCGAAAAAATATAAATAATAAAAAAAAAATTATTTTTAAAAATTTAAATTAAAATTAAGAGAATTTCTATTTTATATATTTTAATATATATCTAAAATAACAATAAACTAAATGTATACTTAAGTGTAGACTTATCATTCTTGTGTGTTAGAGAGTTCGGGTTCTATGTATTGTAGATGTATGTGTTTAGTATTAAAGGAAAAAAAAAAAAAAAAAAAGAAAATGAAAGAGATATAAAAATTCAAATAAGAGAAGAAAAATAAAAACTAATGTCAATAAATACACGAATTATCAACATCTGTAACTTCTCTTCCTAAGTACATGAATTCAGCATTTTTCGCCTCTCTCTCTTTAGATTGCGTTACAACACCTTTAGTACTACTCAGCAGCCAAGTTACTATAAAAGTTTTATTGTGTGCATTTATTTTAAAACTTTATAGTAATTTAGCATATATATAATTTTATCATGCCTAAAATTTCTCATATGAGAGATTTATGAGAAAAAATTAATGGCAAAAATGTTTTGCTTAAATATTCAGGAAACTTAAATTCTATATCATTTGTTATTCGATTGGTGTTGGAAAAGGGGAAAATGGGGGAAATTAGTATTTTTTGGCACCTAATATGTTTTCAAATATGTTTTTATATAAATATATATATGTTCGTATATATACATATGCATATTAACATATGTTAAAAGTATATATTTAAAAAAGAGAAAGTATATGCAATAGTGGACAGGAAACATAAATTAAGCAATGCTTACCATATTGTTTTGTACGGACGGGTATGGGCGGTGTGGTAGCACCTTCACCTCTTTGCGAACGCGCCGCCAGCCATATATAATACAAAGTATCAGGATACAAACCATCAAGCGTATAGGATTCAGTATTGGATATACGCCTAAATTATTGCATTTTACATTATTTTTGTGTAATAATATTCCGTTTAAAATAATAAATTTATGAGCAAATTTGATAAAGAATAACCAAACAAACACAAAAAAAGAAAAAGAAAAAAAAAAAAAAACAAACAAAACAAATAAATAAATAAATAAATGATTTTCCGTTTTTTTACGTCGTGCAAAATATACTACTCACTTATGATGATCCTGATTGGCGTATGTGTCATTCCAGTATAGTTCATAATGTACGATATTTTCACTGGAATGTGTAGGTCTTGACCATTGCAATGTAACTGCGGTCTCGCCGATATCTGTGGCCCGGAAATTACTCGGCTGTGATGGGACACCTAACAGCAATAAATAAGAAATAAGAAGAAATAAATTTTATTATTGTTTATATGCTATATGTCTCCATAAATAAATCATAAACGTAATTCATTACTATAACACATAAAATAAAAAAAAATAAATAAATAAAAAAAAACAATTCTTATCTATTAGTCTGTTTGGTGCTATTCATCCGTGTCGTGCATGGATGGGATTTCATTTACGCAATATGAAAATCATCTTTGAGTACGTAATACAACAATGATCCATTCACTCGATATATATTACATATTGCTTCGTACATAACAACTTTTTTATTCATCTAAGAACGAACTATTACGTTATTACATACACTAGCAAACCTATATTTTTATTCTAAAGAAATTCCACTTATATAAGAGTGTAGTAGAATTTTAGACACAACTTAGAAAAAGGGGGAACTATTAGCTCTTGGCAATAGAGCTTCGTTCTCTCTCGTACATGGATTTCGTTGAATTTCAAGGTGAACTCAATAACAGCAATAAGAGCAAAAGTCAAAAAATTTTTATTTTTCTTTTTATAGTTCGCATGCATGTCTGTCTCTATGCATTAAAACCATTTGGCAAAATTACATTTTGAAAGATCGGAGTACAATTTCTTAGGGTATTTTTGGCCAATATTCAAACACTTTTTCCTTATATTTAACTGATCGTTTTTCTGGTAAAACAACTACTCCGTCATTGGAGAGTTTCTAGCATACCTTGTCGAAAAATTGAACGAATGGATAATCCTGCGACGATTGATCAGATTGATCATTTGTGAACCTCCAGTCTAGGGTTAAATTGTGTTAGTTCTTGACAGTAGCGAGAGGAATAAACCGTCTGGCCAGACTTGAATAGTTTGTGGTGTAGTTTCATATAGCTTGGACCAGGATTTTTTACTGCTTTTTGATTGGCCGTCATCAATCTCGTCAGAAATGGATCAAGTTCTTTTGATTTTAGTAGAGATCAAAATTCACGCTCATAAGTTTCCATTGTTAATTCTGCTGGTATCTAAATATCGACTGCTTAATGTGGTAACGATATCATTAGACGATTTTGAAGAATATCATTGATTCTATTAAAGATGGGACGACCAGAGAGAGTGGCGCGTACGAAACACGAAAATTATCAAAACAGAACTATTTGCCGGTTGTGAATATTGATATCCTACCCTGAAAGTTTTCAGAATTTTAGTTCAAAGCGCGGTTAATCTCAATTGGGTTAGCAAATGTCGCCCGATTTGTGTATAACACTTGTGGTATAAGATAATAATTAGTTTGTGCGAATTTATATAACAGAAGAAGAGCTTTAGATATGTCCGAATATTATTATACTAATGGAGTCAGAATCACTTTTTGAATTGATCTAAATTTGTCTGTCCGTCTGTCCACTTGATGTTTATATATTTTTGTGTTCAACATAGACACAATTTTTAAGATATTTCGATAAGATTTTATGCACCGAGCGTGGGCCCAGCGACGAACGCTGTTCGCATCGGACCACTTCTTCGCCTACTTCTCATAAAACGCCTTCATTTGAAAAGCTTTCAATAACTTTAGTAAATGAAGTCATGTAGAACATTTAATGGTCGATCCTAACCCACTATAGTGTTTATACATACTTTAACAGTTAAACGATACTCGCCTTTCAGTCGGCATAGAGTATAGCTTGCTAACGTTGCTGTTAGAAAGGCTATGCGTTTCTAAAGCCACATGTTTGGAAATACGCTACGAGCCTTTTCTACGATCCGATCTATAACATTTTGGTAGTGGTTAAAAAAACTGAGCGCACATCAATGAAGGATGGAAATTAAGTTTAGAACATACATAAAATTTGTAAAAGAAAACATTTATTCTTTCGAATCTTTTGCATCCAATTGCAAAATCTATCATCAAAAATAAAATGCTTAAAAAAATACATTTTTTTAATACCTGTGCGAAAGTCTATGCTTATGCATAAATTTGCAAATCAATGCCATCGATTTGTCATATGCAAACATTTAACAATATACGCTTTTAATCAAACGCGTCTATCTTCTTATTCTTCTTTTATTTTATATAAGAAAAAAAAAAAAAAAAATAAATAAATAAATAAAAAACGTTACAGTGTTACTTGCATTGGCTGCTATATACTGAGTATTTAATAACAGATAAATACATTGTGGAAATATTATACATGATAAAAGGATATTCCATCAATATTTTATTTAAATTGAAAAATTTCATAAAACAGAAAAGCAAAGAATACAAATGAACGGCAAACGGATCAATGAAACCCATTAAATTGACAACTGTATTTGTGTGGGTGTACACTACCAAGCAAGTTTGTCAGTCTGTTTCCCTGGCTCTTTACATTCAATGAATAGTTACAGAGACAAATAAAAGTGTTAAGAGGATATATACATAAATATATATATATATATATATATATATATATATGAAGGTTCGTTATTCCATGCGGTTCGAAAGCTGAATAAAAAAAAAATAAATAAACAACTGTACGCTGAAATAAATATTTTATAAAACAAACGAACGAGGAACAAAGATAGAGAAGTATGAAAATGGATATGCGCTACAGTCCTCATATACTTGACAAAATGAGTAAGAAGAAGACACACATTTAAATAAATATAAAACATACATTAATTTGATTAAATCCTACAGAAATATGCCTTATGGAGCAAAGTCAATGGTCTTAGAATGGGTATAAGGGGCTTAGGTTTACCATTTCCTTTGACCATCATCTTGATAAATATGAATTTTAAGAGTCTGCTCATTAGGCATTAAGGAGCTAAGTATTTTTTTTTTTCCAATCGAAAAAACATTTATTAAGTATTGCGAATTTTTTGAAAAATTTACGCAGAGAGTATCAAACATTCTTACAATCTGCTAAAGAAGCGGCTAAAAATTTTTCCGCTCCTTTGGAAAGTGTTACTGGCCGTTAACCTGCTACGCTCGGGAGTTTAGATTGTTGACTAAACCGTGTTGCTTATTTACAAAGCTTTGCCTGCGTGTGCATTTAAAACTCAACCGCTACAATAGTTCCTTGATCGTAATTATGACGACATATTAGTTAAACACATTAAGCCTATGCCATAAGCAATGCCAGTAAGGAAAATTGTTTACATCACTATATATATATCAATTTGCACTCATTTCATGTCGTTTTAAATTGAGAGTTAATTTTTAAAAATCTTATATCGCTTATAAAGCAAGTTCGGAAATTATGTGTAAATATAACGAGTTTCCCGTCCAGATATCTCATGTATAGACAGACTACTACTGCTTGTGTTTTGATTTCGTTACCTTGTGTGCGACACCAATTACGGTCAACTTGCTTGTACACATAATGAACAATTTTATTTTGGGACTCGTGCATAGGTTGTTTCTTAACCTTTTTTTCTTAAATATTTTAGCGTTTTTTTAACTCATTCCAGTTCTTCAACTGCAAGACCTTGTCTTCCCTTAAATGTAATTAACCAAAGCATGTGCTAATGTTGCACTGTTGAGGTTTTGCGAATCTTATACACACCGTCACAGAAATTTCCATGACAACTACGACAATAACTAAGAGAACAAAACTATAGATGCATTTACCAATAATTTATAAGACTATATATGTAAGATATGTAAGAAAAGTTATACCTCAAGAAAACATTAATAATTCATAATATTTTGTTTCTTGATGGCGTCGCTGAGATGGAGCTGATGTCGCTATGCAACAATAAGGAAAACTTAAAAGTATTATGATCCGGCAATGCCGCCAATTGAGTGCACTCTTATTTTACAGTATGCTTTGATCTTGTTGGCATATAAAGACTTATAGGGGAAAAAGAAAAAGTTCAAAGAATGCTCCCAAGTCGTCCAAACGATTTTTATCAAAAAATATTAAAAATTGCAATTGTTTCATGACTGGTTGGAAAAATGGCCCGATGCAATCAATATTGAACAACGTTTCCCCTCCACCCAAAATATATCTTGATATGGAATTTTGTCAAACCATCTCATAAAGCGCCACTTGCACGTTAGATGTAAAAGTACGTGAGCAGGCAAAGACTGACAGATGTGCATAAATCGATTTCGAAAATGATTCCGAATTGTCTGGCATAGACGTAGGCGCGTATGACTGCTTTTCGGCGTAGACTTTACATCTGCCTAAGCTTACTTCGTTGTTATCACAAGTAGCGTAAAAAATAAAACAACCATTGGAAACAGACGAACACTGACAGAGCAAATAATGTTGTGATATGCGCGGCTATATCGAATATCGGAAATATATGCTTTCTAAATTGGCTGCACTGCGACTTACATCTTTGTCAAATTTCACATCACAAACGCCATTAGTGTTTCAGCTGTGCATGCGGCAAAACAAATTATTTTTTGCGATCATTATTATGTGCGTGAGGAGACGATTTCTGACTACCAATCGCTGACGAGGCCCATTATTGCGGAACATGAGTCTTCGATTTAAGCATAAGATTCGAAATCAACCGATTAATCGGGCGAATATCGTGTAAAAGGTGAGCCAAGACCGAAAAAACCGCGCCAAAGTCGCTCGATTTCGTGAACTGTGAATTCTTATCTGTCAGGTCAATATTGATAACAGGGATTATCACTTGAGTTTGAGGATTACTTTTAAAAGAAGAAAAACTAAATTGGTCTTATTTTTTGGACACAGCAGTACATCTTTAACTAAAGAGTTTTAAATGCACTTTTTGTTTGGACCTTTCCTAGCACTTGTCCAAATCTAAGTAGGGTTACAAGAAAAGTATTTTCATCTGATGATGGTGAGAAGCACGTGTCACAATTTTTTAGGGAGAAGGAAGTGCCCCAAAATTTCAACGAACTATATCAGGAGATTTTTTTGAAAGTGGGGGTGAGTTCACCTTTTATTATTTGGGGATATTCATGGATTTGTATTTGAATAATATTTGAAAAGTGTTGGCATACGTAATACGTTTATTTTAAGTGTATTCAACATTGAATTAATTCAACTTTATA